GCAGAGAGTCCACTTCTGAAGAGAGAATTTTCTCTCATGAGAGCTCTGATATCTAAAAAGGTCAAACTGGATTTCCAGCTTTACAATGAAACAACTGAAAAATCCAAGAAACTAAGTTTCATTAGTCCTGCTGCAAAGACAACTCCTTCCTTTCTGATGAAGTTTCGATCTCATTAGACAAGATCCAGCCAGGCCCACGAAAGAAATTTTCAAGGAATCCCCTGCTGTTGCAGGACACAACTGTGTCTGCAGGACACAACAATCTCTTGCTGTTGCAGGACATCACTGCTGAGGCTTATGGATTGGAACTCACAACACTAGGTGCTGTACAGATGGAATAAACAGGTTGCCCCTGCCCTACAGCTCATTAAAAGCATCAGCCAAAAGCACTGATGAAAAGGAAAGGAAAAATTCACTATCACACTATCTCGCTGCAGGCTAAAAGTGTGCAAGCTAAAAGCATGTGTGCAAGCTAAAAGCATGCCAAAACCATCCTTTAGAAAACTGATTCGGGAGAACAGAAAGTCTCTTCCAGTGCAGTTGTTTGAAGAGTAAAGAGGAAGAGAGTCTCAGTATCAGGCACTAACCTGGACCCACTTGCAAGAGCAGTGACCAGGCAGCAGGGATGGGAGCGTTTGTGGAAGGCTGGTGGCCTTGCACAATGTCGTACAGCAGTAACAAACAGGAGCCAAGGAAGATAAGTGAACAGAGGCAGTTATGTTGTAGCACAGTAACAGATCAAAGGCTGGGAGTCCCGAAGGAGTGAAAGGAGCAGCTGATAACATGATACAGCAGCAGAGCTGGTACCTCGTTGCAACTCAGCTCTGAACACCTTGAGGATGATAAGAGACTGCAGATGAGTCACCAAGTGCCAGCAGGCAGAGGAGACTGAGAACTCCAACACTTGGGGCTTTCAGGGTCTTTAAGAAACTCTTGATATTTCTGAAAACTTAAACCTTGTATTTGAGCCCAGATGATCTCCATGCTTCCCCTTCCTCTGCAGTGGCATCTGCAGGTCGCTTGGCACTGCAATGAGGCTCTCCTTGGCACCGAGTGGCTGCTGCTAGCCAAGTTGCAGCAATTGCCATCAGTCTGCACCAAATAGTCTACATAATGAAATTTATCTGCTAAAAAAAAAAAAATCTGTGGGAGTGCAATCAGGACAATCGTAATGTTAACTGAATGCAGAAATGGGGCTTTTTCCATCATAGCTAAACATATTATCAGCCTCACTATCCCCATGTTTTCAGTCAGGACAGCAGTTTCACTTCTCCCACCTCAAAACTCTTCTGTGGGACTGCTGGTGCCAAACATCTGCAGTGCTCTGCCTAGTGCAAAACTCCTATGGGAGGGATATGATTTAAGACTCCCACTGTTTGATGGGAAGGTACAGCCCCTGAAGAGCTTTTRGGGACCAATGCTAATGCAAGACAGGCTTCTGTGCTGATTTTTGCCTGGCACTACACAGGTCTGCATTGCAGTAAACAGAGTAAAAGCCAAAATAAAAGGCACCACCTGTAAGATGTTCTCCATTCCCCTCACATCTCAGTTCTGTTCGGTGGTTCATGTCTTCAACAACCTCATTCCTGCCTATTCTGTTTCACTAATAAGAGACGAGAAAATCCTCTAGCTCTACAGATTTGTTTCTCAAGCTTCAATCCAGATCTTAGACAATAAGAAACTGAAGAAGCAGGTTTTGCTCTAAAGGTCAAAATGTAATTTAAAAGGAATCTGCACAGGGCAAAAAGCCAGCAAGGAGTTCCCTGTTGCTCTAACATATTGCACCACATCATTATAGCTGCATCAGGAAAATGCCAACCACTTTTGTTCCTGGATATCAGCTACACACACGCTACAGAAAATAGCCTTAACCCTTGCAGTACTGCATGTTACAGCACTCACCATTGCCACTGCACTGCCCTTAGTTAGATTACTGTAGCCTGTAAGCTTATGGGACCTCCTCAGCATTGAGCTTACTGTACTGCTTCCTACCTAGCAGAGCCTTGATACTGTTTCCATGTAGAGTTTYGGCTTGTCTATACCAGATTCATAGCTCTTATTCACAGTTCTACTTACAATGAGACTGAAAATTAGCTAAGTGATTGGGTTTGTACTGCAACAGCCATGACGCACAGAGTRGTCCCTGTTCCATAGCTCCCCTCCCTGCTGCACTTGGCCTGCTGCAGGGGTTCTGGATCACTGGATCAGAGGGTAAAGTGATCAGAAGCAATGCTGTGACAACCTGAGGATAAAATAATAGCACCCAAAGGCTATTGCTTGGTGCCTCACGTGATTTATCAGTGTATCCAGAACATCCAAGTTTGTTTAAGCCTGTTTCATCCCTAGATCATCAACATGCTCCTTTGCCCCTGCTCAGGGTCCCACACTCTTCTTCCAGCAAGTCCCCTCAGCTGAAGGACAGAGGTCACCTCTGCGGGGGTCTCGAGGTGCAGCTGTGGTTTAGCACCAAATGTCCTGTTTGTGCAGCTCCCCCAGGTCCCAAGTGGCTCCACATGAGCCACTGTAGCACCAGAAATAGCTCTGCCATTGTAATTCACCTGATAATGAACTTGCATATCAGCAAAACAACTTATCTCTAAAGACAGTTAAAAACTCTAACCAACTGAGGCAGAGAAAGGATCTTAAAAGTAGTAATTTTACCTAGAACCACACACATTAAAAYTGCATCAGTCACGACTACCGGCTTTTTCAGGGCTCTTTTCCAAATTAAATGCTTTTGAATGGCTCTAGTCTGCATTGCTGTGCTTTCAGTTTGTTTTAAAAAGCCCAGCCTTAGCTTTCATTTTCCACAGTTTGAAGCTTGTTCCAGGAGAACAACCAACCCTCTCGCAATTGTTTCATTTCCCAGCTCAGAGATGTGGAGAAGTGTTACAAGACCCATGCRACAGCCCATCTCAAAGAGCTGAAAACAAACCACAGAGTAAAGCAGGAGGGCAAAGATCCAACCAGCCCCTGGAATCAGCTGTTCTTTCATTGAGTTTCCCTTGACATAACTGCTCTGTTCTCCCCACAGTCACACCATGCTGTTCCCAGTCATGGGAAACAGTTTGAGATTTCACTTCAATATTCCAGAGAGTATTGGGTACTCAACTGCTGCCAAATTAGTCATAGTTCAGCTCCCATTTCCTTTAGACACTGGGATGACAAGAGGGATGGATTTGCTGGAGGCAGCACATCACCACAAGACCTGCTCACCTTCCTTCCCTATCAGCTCCACTGTGGTCTATAGCAGGRGTCAAAATTAACGCCTGCAGAGCTGCTAATGACACCCTTCCATCCCCCTTTAAGKCTTGTTAGATACCAGCTTAAAAGCACCATATGAGCTCTAAATATTGTAATTATGATTACTCATAGATGAGTAATCCCAGCTTGAAACCAAGGTGAGTTGCCTCGGTGCAAATCGATGCTGACAGCAGGCTTTGCTCTGGAGGTTACCCCAGAGCAAATTTCCTTTTTWGGGGACCAACAGCTGCACAGGCAGCAAAAACCCTAGTGTAGACAAAGTCTCAAYGTATTATTGTGCAAATCTGGCAAATGATGGTTGTGAATACATCCACACACTTGCCAAGTCTGCCAAAAATATTTCTTTTGCCTGAAGGTGTGCAGATGTCTGAGGAGCCAAATGCATTTGTGTACCTATGCTGTCTGTCCACAGCAGTTTATTTTTCTGGATTTTTTTTTGCAGTTCTTCAATACACAAATGCCTTTAAGCCTATTACTAAATACAATCAAATGTATTAACCAAATTCTATATTGGAAAAAATCATACTTTTCATATTATTCAGAAGGATTTGCATTATCTGTTCATCAACTCAGTGTCTTAAATCCCATCTTTTACATTTAACTATAAATAAAGCAGAAACAGTAAACTGGAAGAGACTGAGTGGGACAAGAAATAATAGGAAGGAAGGATAAAGTCATTCCAGAAAAGCTAAATCAATTCTGTGCAACACTGCTACAAAAGTTGAGTCCTGCAAGAACAGAGATACCTTTTCCTCAAGCAATAAAAGCTTTCAATGCCCCACAAACAGCTGCACTAAGATGCACCTTGCCCATCAACGGCAAAAAAAAGTGAGATAAATTTTTGTATAAATGTTTCTCTTCAGTGCTCAGTATGCTCAGAGGTACAGAGAAAGGACAYTTGTCACCTGAAAGTTGCCTTCTCTTCTCAGATAGCCCACGGGCTTCCCTGCAAGGTAACACCACTTGGTTTGCTGCCTCTTCTGTTACTTTAATTCATTTTCTCAAGAAAACATTTAGACTGCAGCCTGTGGAAAGTGTTTCTGTTCATTTGGCAGACAGGACAGAAGCCTCTTGTTATCCTCATGAGATCCAACTGTATTGGGTGCCTACTCACAAACCGTTAACCTCAGTGAGAAAAGTGTGTCCTTCCTTTGCAAATAAATTAGCTGGGTTTCATGCAGACTCACACACGCTCCTCATTCATGTAATAACTGGAAAGAAATTCCTTCTAGCTATTGTGCAGACTAGATCTGCAGTTTTCATACAACTCCTCCTGGACCTATGCATCATACAGTGGCAGAGTCTTAAAGACAGCACTGCAGTTAAAATTTATTCTGATTTTGCAGATTTAGTCATTATTTATAAAATGTTTACAAACAGGAAGTTTTCAGCTCCTACCAAGTTCTCCTTGGTAATATATTGCTATGCTAGATGTAATAAGAGATGAGAATGACAGCCCTGTATCCTGAGCAAAACATACATTTGAAGCTAAAGATTTCATGGCAACATAAAAAAAAGACAATATATGAAAGTCTCTAAATGCATATGTAACAATCACATGGTGGGATGCATCTATTACAACCGAGGGGAAAATAAAACTGGGATAGCAACCGGTGTTTTTCAGTTAGCTGAAGGATTGTGGATGGAATACCCCAACAACTGTAAAAAATACTGAAAACTTCTGGTTCCAGCAAGCCATAGAGTCATCCTTTAGGTTGGTCACATGTGTATGTATATGCATATATATTATGCAAGTACATATGTTTCACCAGAACAATACAGCTGCTCTTCTTTGAATGAGGATGCTGCATTTACTGTTTAAACAAGTGAGCCATAAAACACAGGACTAACTTTAAAATGAGCTTATGAAGATAAGCATGTTTACTTATAAAACACAAATTAATCAAACACACCTACTGTAATACCCYCTTCAGGCCCTGCAGAGCTCTGCCAAATCCTGTTTTTAGGATAGCTGGCAACACCATAGTCAAAGACTGTTCAATGTCACAACATGACYACTTACCAAAACAGCAGCTTCTGTTCCCAAATGTTCCTTTTCTCACTACGTAACATTCAGTTTCTGGATTCCTCAAATCCAACATATTCTGTAGAAAGTAACTATTTTTTTCTTTAGTGAAGTAATGCAGTCAAATAACTAGCAAATACATGTCATATCAAGCTGGATGGTGGAATCTGTGTCTGTGCAGCTGCTAAAGGCAGATCTTGAAGACATTCGCTCCCTCTTTCTTTCCTTCCTTTGCTTCCTCACACCTTCTGATACCTCAGGACTCCTCTTTCCTTTTCTGGTCCTCAATTAGATAGGATTGGGGTGCTTTTCCCTGTAACTTTTCCTCAAGCAATGGTGCATGAGGYATGCTAACTTCTAGATTCTTTTTAAAGTTGAAATATATGATCTTGTCCTTTTAGTGATCTCAACAGATATACTATCAAGGAAGTTCATAAAAAATACATATATACTTAAAAAAAATGCTTTAGGACCAATATACCTCACTGCCAAAGTTACATTGTGCTTCTGTGTCCAAGAGTCACCATTACATCTTTGCAGAGTCCCTTCAAACTTCCTTTTCTCTCCAGGACAGACAGGCTACAGCTGGGTAGAGCCTAAAGAAACTAACTGTAGAGTCTTTTACTCTGCTCTYATTCACCCGGGATTACAATCAGTGCTTCTATTACTTCTGGTATTTTTTTCATTAGTTAGCTCGGTGCAAGTTTACACAARTACTCCCATGAAATAAATATGAAGATCGTAATGACATCTAATAAAAGATATTACTTTTTCCTACAAAGTTTTCTTCCATTAGTAGGGAAAAGCGATGCCAACTGACTTCATCAGGCTGTGAGGATTAAAAGTTATTTATAACATGCTTTGAAAATGAGAAAGCATAATTTAAATGTTCATCGTGTGAGTAAGCAGTGAGTCAATATTCAGCATATTAATTGAATGCATTTGAACTGCTGGAATTTTCTGAAGCCTGCCAAGTCTGAACCATAACAGTTTCTTTCATAACTGGAGCACAGCATGAATGAAAGAACCTTCCTCAGATCCAGAAGCTGAAGTCCAGAGCAATATGCACATTGCACCCATTCCACTGAATAYCAGCCTATTAAAAAGGAAAAGAAATAAAAATAAATGAACATGCAAGAATAAACAGCTGATTACATTTTGGATCAGTATATAAGGAATATGAGACTGATGAAATATATTGCAATTTAAAAATGAATCAGAAATGGTGCCAGTCACCCAGAGTGAGCTCTCAGCCTGTCTCCTAAAACCAGTCTCTGGAACAGACTCTGAACTCTCGCTAGGGGCCCGTGTAGGTTAGACACCCAAACGTGGTTCATGCCTTCACAAGCCTCCTCTGTGCAGCACATGATTCACATCTAGGGCTTCAGAGAGATATTCCTCACTTCCTAATCCCATGGCTTTCACCCATAGCAGCTACTGCAAACCAGCAGCTAACAGAAAGCAGCTTGCCACAAAACACCCGTCTCCAGAGCCAGGGCTGTGTCCAGATAACAGCACTGCTGTTGACAAATCTGTTATCTCCTTCCCCTTTCCTCTTCTTCTATGGACATTAAAAACATATGTACATCAGAACAAGGTGACAAACCCTACCTGGGCAGTCTGTGGACGTGTGCTGCCTCTTGTGGTGTCACCTCTCYAATGCCAGGGCCTGGATGAACTTAAGGAGCTTTCTCTGCTGAGGGCCCTAGACAGTTTTCACCCCCTCTCCTGACTGCACTCTACTTCTCTCACAGAACTGGGCCCCAACTTGCCCAAATTACAGAATAACTGATGCTAGAAAGGCCCTCTAGAGATCACCTCCTCTCAAAAGACACATTTTTAGAGAAGAAAACACTTCTTCACCCCAGCCCTTTCACCTCAGCAAGAGGAGGACTGGTCAAGGCCTCCTCACCACCTGGCCTACCCACAGCCACCCCTAGCCGAACCTCCTCCCCCACCGCTACCAGCGCTTTAG